TTAGAAAATCAAAAAATAAATAAATAACAATAATAAAAACAGTAATAGTAATAATAGTAAAAACAGGTTTCAGACCATAACTTTTAAAATACGAAAACAATAGCGGGACAAAGCTAGCCTATCATGGGGTTAAAAGAACCGGAGCAGATTAATGACTTCCGCGTTTCTCTGTAAACGTCGATATTCATGAGCGCGGGAGTTACTGATACTGCACAACTGCATTCACTGGCATTTCTGCAGTACCTATCATCAAATGTAACGCCAGTCGCTTATTAATTTAATTATTATTTGGCAAGAACTTAAAATATGACAACGCTGAGATGCAAAAGATTCCGTTCTGGTGAACAAGTTTCGATAGACGGCTAAACTCCGCTATTCACCCCTCCCTTTTCAAAATGGCATCTTGTGTTGAAAAAAATGGTGAAAATGGCGTCCGTATTAAAAAAAAAAAACGTGTGCAGCGCTCCACACGCGCAGCCTGCGTCTGCAATCACTGAAAACTCCGCCATGTGCGCTCAGCTGTCAGTCTCCTGCCAGTGACAGCAGCTCAACTCGCATTCTGTCAGTCAACAGTCTCAGATTGACGAACAGCGTTCCGTTTCTATCACAACCGGCAACACTGCAGCGTCTGATAAACGGCTAAATGTTACATTGTTGCAATATGGCGCGGGAAACAAAATTGCTTCCTCATCCGCCAGTTTCAAAATATTGGTGCTAAACAGACATATTACACGCACGACAAGCTTTTAAAAAGATTTTTAATGAAAGAAACCATTGGAATTAATAAAACTGTGTCATGCTGACACTGACATCCGCCGCAATCCAGTCACTTTTTGTGACCTACCTCTATTACAATCCTCCCAGCACTCTTTCCATCGATGGTGATGTCAAAATAAACTCTGGGATTGGACATGATGACAAAAAAAAATCACTCTGTATTAGTAGCTGGTCGCCGAACGAATCCTACAAAATGCCGCAGCTTATCGGGAAGTAGGATGTGTGCGAAAACGTGATATATAGAAGCAGCCAGCAGCCCTTTTTTTCAATTGGGACCTATGAAGCCGTGGAACCGCTAAATGACGTGCGCGTTGTCCAATCAGAGGCGGCGCAGATGAATAAATTACCGCAGCGTTCGAACGCAACGTTCAGAGGGAGGGCGTTTGATTGACATCCTCATTGGCCCGTTACAGTAGGTAGAAATGACGTTACTGCGTTCCATCCAATGGGCAACGAGGGAATAGTGTGGGCGTGTACCAGCGGTCTGTAATGGCGCGAGGGCGGTGGCCAACAGCTGAATTCGCCATTACGGCACAAAATGTTATCACGGATAACGAATGTTTTGAGGATTTAATTTGTTTTTATTTTCTACATTTCCTAAATTATGATGTCCTTATTGATATTTAAACGGACTAGTGGGAGATACGAAGTGAAATGAGTCAAACAAAAAGCTTTCTTTTTGTCCTCATAACGCTCGTCTTCTTGCATGACACACATCTTCCGGACACGCCCTCTTGTGTTCCCGCGTTTTGACACAATGCGGCGCTGCTCTGCTCTCTCGCCAAATAAAGCCAATGAAACGCAATGGGGCTTAAGTCTTTACTTATAAAACATAATGGAAATATTTCACATCTTTAGAAAAACAAATCGATTTCAATTGTACATGTTTAATTCAATTGATAGAACTTAATGATCCACCAACACATGACAGTCAAACAGCTTTTTGAACAGTTTGATCAACAAGTGATGCTGGTTTCTCAGTTTTTCATGATCATGGTCACAGATTTTGATGGTGAATTCATTTTTTTTTCTCTTTCTAACAAATTCATAAACTCTGCTAGTTAACACAGAAGAGAGATGCATACAGGCCCATCAATTATCTTTATAATTATAATAACAATTATTATATAATCAAAGATAAAATTGTATGATACACAAATGACTTCAAACAAACGAAAAAAAGAACAAAAGCACATCCAACGACTCCTGATGCTCCCTGTATTGTTAATATACAAACTGCACTTCGCTAACGGTGCCCAAAGAGCAATGATAAATAATAAAATCAGACAAGACAGGAATCGACAGCAGACTCATCTCCCCTCCACGCCGAGAAAGCGAGCGCTGAATGGAAAACGGGGGGGAATGAAGTGCATGTCTGATATGAGCTCTTGTCATAGTGTTTAAAATGTCCTTTTTTCCATAGGGGGTTAAGAGAAAGTTCACATCTGCGACAATAATAATACTATATCTGTACATATTTCACATGAATCCCAATGTTTTCCTCCTCAAGTATGAGTGCGGCTATAAACATTAGTCCATTTCCTGTTGTGACGCTCCCACCCACCTAGATTTGTCCGAGCATAATCTCACTACGGGAAGGTGTTTGTCCAAAAAATGTCCTTGTGTGGATTTGTGTGTTTTATAACCTGTCTACAAGGTGCTACTGGGCTGTTTGTGCTCTGTCTGGTTTCAAAGCTTCACACAGAAAACTGATTTTCTACCAAATAACAGCCCAAACTTGCATATTTAAGGGCGAGTGAAATGTGTCCGCAAGTGAGGGTGTGATTTGAGCCGACGGCGATCAAGGATACTAGTCCTTTTTTTATAATGCTAGAAATCCAGACCTCGTGGCCTTAAGCCCACAGGGGAGGAAGACCGTTTTTAAAAAGAACATCGAGGGGGAACGAAACTAACAAGAGACAGACGAAAACAGAGAGCAGGGTGTGGCATAAAAGTAGTCTGTTTGAGTTTGTGCCAAAACACACACATAGTGTGGCTTGAGGTGTGCGTGTGTGTATTTGTGTGGGTGTCACAAAAGATGACTCTGCCTTCAATTTCCTTCGTGTGAAGGCAAATACGGTAACTCTCGAAGGGCTTGGTGTGGTGTGCAAAATGTAATAGTGCACTTCTTCAATGCTACTGTTTAAGGTCTGACACATTGTGATTGCCTCTATTAGCACGTATAAAAGGAAAAAGGCTACATTTGAAGTCTTCTTCAAGTAAAATTCACTTAAGATCAAGTCATTTGTGGTTTAAGACCATGTTATATCACATGGAGCTAGTTTGTGGTCTTCTTTGGGCAAAAAAAGAAATAAAACATAAGTCTGCCCGTTTATTAAGAGAATTACGTTTATCCGTGTTTGTTTTCTTCAAGTTACAACAGAGACACTTTGGCTTTCCCCGTGTGATTTCTGAAGTGTAGTACTTTAGATCAGCACTGAAGTGAATTCCTCATCTAATTTAGATTTAAAACAGGAGCTGCAATGAAGAAAACAAACAATGACCCACCCCACACAATGTCATTTACACCACACGAGTCCGATGTGAGATGAGGAGTCTTTCTACAAATGATTCGAGAGAAGAGCGGGAACTCTTTCAAACTGAAATTCACAATAAAATCTCGACAGAGTTCAGAGAAGCAGACAAACAGTAACATTGTCACAGGAGGAAAAGTCAAACAAAAAAAGATCTTCGTTGCACCTTCCCATGAGTCACTGCATTCCAGTCTCAGGAGGAAACAGTGCAAAGACGTAATCGGATATCTGTTCCCAAAGCTCCCCTCGACGAGCCGGGAGTGTGAGGGGTCAGGAGGCTGTATGTTGGACGGCGATGTGCGACTGATGAATGAGCGGGACGGGGGGCTCAGTTGCTCTCGAACAGAGCGAGCAGGTCATCGTTACTGTTGTTGGGAAGGTCTGGAGGACCCAAGTAGGACAGCAACTCATCTGGGTTTGTCAGCTCTGGGAGAAGCTGGAAAACAAATACAGAATTCCGGAGTTAAGAGTCGTCCTGTGGCAATACTAATGACACTCAAAACACTGTTTATAATCATAATAATAAATATAACATAGCTGGCTTTTCAAAAGACATTCACAGACATTTCTGTTTCCAACAGTGCTGGGAAGTCTGTGAATCAATTCTTTTGAAACGTTTGTTCAATGAATCAGCTGAAATTCCAAATCAGTGAATCTTTTAAGTAATCACTAGGTCCGAATGGAATCTTTTGAACTGATTTTGGAGGAAAATCTCTGGAAATTCTTTAATCATGGGAGTTAAAGGAGTAGTTCACCCAAAAATGAAAATGCTGTTATCATTTACTCACCTTCATGTCGTTCCAAACCCATGGGACTTTGGTTAATCTTCTAATCACAAATTAAGAAATTTATTGAAATCTGAGATGTTTCTGTCTCTCCAGGTAACCAAAACTTAGAAGATTCAAAAAGGCCATAAAAGCATCACAAAAATAATCCATATGATTTGAGCCATTTAATCCAAATCGTGTGAAGGTATCTCATCACTTTATATGATTAACAGATTGACTTTAGTCTTTTATTTACAGCTAAGCAATGACTGACACGTATATAGAGCGCATCACATATGGTAAACATGGAAGCTGAAACATGCATCCATGATGTGAGAGAACAAACAAGATTTGTTACAGTGTGTGACATTCACAAACTTCCAGTGTTTATCAAATGTGATTCGCTCTGAATGTGTTCATACGTGAACAAAAGCCTAAATGAAAACTTATAACATTTAAAGCGATTGTATCTCTTCACAAGACTTGGATTAAACTGCTCGAATCACATGGATAAAATTTTATGATATCTTTCGGATCTTCTAAGTTTTAGTTACCTGTACTTTCAATGGAGGGATAAAAACCTGTCAGGTTTCATTAAAAATATCTTAATTCTTGTTTCAAAGTCATACAGGTTTGGACAGATATGAGGGTGAACTATGTCTTTAAGAATAGAACACTGTAACCAATATTCCAAAATAGTTTATAAGTGCAAATGTGTCCCAAAGCAGATGTGGGGCTGGCCGTTACCCAAAAGTGTTTGCAAAATCTTTCAGAGAAAGAGAACGAACAGCTTTAAACATGCATAACTGCAGGCATAGGACCTAAATTAAGCAAGAACGGCTGGGAAGTAGATCATTATAAGTTGGTAGTGGGTGTACATGGAGTAAAATCCCGCAGGAACGGGCGGTTGTGCTCAGCAGACCTTTAATTTAAAATGTTGACACCATGGCCAAAAGTCATTGCTTTGATCTGGAATAGATGATTGATTCTGACTTACATCAAGAGCCGGCTCTGAAATGTCGCCGGGTCCCCCGGGGCCCCCCAGGCCAAAGCTGTCTGTGTGCATCCGGGGATTCTGGGAGGAGTTGCGGGAGTGCATGGGTCCACCGGGGCCACCCATGTTGGAGTTACCATGGAGAGGTTGATGCTGCTGTTGTTGAAGGGGATTGTGGGAAGGGTCCATGCGACTAGAGTGGGGCATCTTTATTAAGGAGGGCAGGTGTAAAGAGAAAAAGAGACAGTCAGTGAAGCTGGAACACACTCTGCACAGTAATTTAAAGTGCAAACCCGTCTTGTTCTTCTTTTAGAGTGGGTGAGATGTGGTGCGAAAAGCAGCAGCTGCGAGTGACAGACAGGAACACTGCGCTGTGCTGTCGCACACAGAGACATTTGAGTAGCTCTTATACGCTGCAACATACGGGAACGACAGAAACCAAGACGCCAGTAAAACACACTTGGGTATCCAAGGTGAGGGTCATTTTAGTACAATACGTGCAGCAAACCAGCTGCATTAATTCAAGCCATATAGTCAAACACATACAGTGGGTACGGAAAGTATTCAGACCCCCTTAAATTTTGTACCCACTGTATATGGACTTAGACAATTATTTCATTTGGGCTTTTTTGCTAGCGAGTTGGATGGATGGAAACACAGATGGAGCAATAATTGCATAAATGGATGAATGAACAAAAAGATGGGTGAAGAATAGAAAGAGATGGACTGACAGAAAAATAGTTGGATAGAAAAACAAAGACAGATGATAGATAGATATAGATAGATAGATAGATAGATAGATAAAAGAGAAAAACAGAGAGAAAAATGGGTGAAGGATAGAAAAACAGATGGACTGATAGAAAAATAAACGGACGGACGGACAGAGATAGATAGATAGATAGATAGATAGACAGACAGACAGACTATCAATTTCTTGTGGTGAAATTGTAATAATAGGAAAACAAGTAAATCATGGGGTAATTTTCATTTTTGGGTGAACTATCCCTTTAAACATTACGTACAGAAACTGTACACTTTTTATGGACCCAAACCTGACAATTCTGGTGCCATGAAGCTAACAAAATTTGGTAAATCTGGCAATCGGTTCTGTCTTGGAAATGCTTATTAAAACAGCATGGGAACTTATAAACAACAATTTATGCACTCTGACTCTGGGAAATTGGGTAGATGCCAGCCAATCATACTGAATATGCCTATTTTACTCAGCTCTTGCCATTTTTTTGTGCAATATGCGTCACACGATCAGGGAACAGTCCATGGACATGCAGTTTACAGCTAAAAATAGTATAATTTAGGTATAATTTATTCTCTGCATTATCTCTGCAATCACAGTTTAGATGCTGCAGAGGTTATATAAAAACTTACTTCTGGATGTAGATCAGAATGCCCAACATGTACTGGTCCACTTCTAGCCCCTCCAGAAGGGCTGTTTTACTGCAAAGAACAGATCAGTTTGAAAAACTGTACAAATATGTCATATATATACACCATACAATACACATTTTCAGGAATGCACTTGATGCACATTTCACAATATGATATTATTTAGGCAAATAAGACAAGCCAATAATTTTCAATTTTTTGGCCAAATGACATTAAATAAAACAAATCTACTATAAGTAAATATGTATTATTCTAACATTAATATTAATACTAATTCCTTATTTTTTACTCATATTAAAACAAGCAATAATATTTTAATTATTAATATTAATATTTTATCTTATAAATAAAAAATGATATAATATTAAAATATTATATTATTAACAACAATAATATATCTTAATATTAAATGTTAAATTGTATACTATTTTGCCTATATAAATTACAAAGAAAACATTAAAAACTAAAATCATTCATGTAAATATTAGAATTTTTAAAAGTGAATTTAGGCATCATAACATTATAATATATAGTACAAGAAATGCATATTCATTCTGAGATTTGTTATAGACTACATTTAGCACTGTTATTAAAGTATTAGCGTTTTTAGTAAGTTTAAGAGAATTTTGCCGAAAAAATATTGGCAGATTACTACTACGATATGGATATATTGTGTATCCCTAATCATTGTCTTAGTTTTAAAACAACAAAAATGCCATGGAGATGAACGGCAAAATGAGAAACTTCTTACTTGCACACAGGACAACGCCAAGTTCCTCTCTCACAGTTGAGCTGCAGGTACGATTCCAGGTCGAAGCACTGTGCATCAACAAAGATGTTATTTACCACAGAAATTCACTTTACAAAGTCATGTGATTCAAACGTAAGCTAGCGGGCCTCCTCACCTGTATATGTCTGCAGTCGTGGCCCCTGGCAGGAAGCTGGATGCGTCGGAAGGTGATCGGACACTTGAGCGACACCTTGATGGCCGTCTGTTCCACACCATCCTCGCCGTTAAGGCCGGGAGTTCCTGGGATGGTACCGCTACTGAAGTTCCTCTTAACTACGGAAGAACAGAGAAGGATGAGTTGACATTTTTCTGCTTTTATTTGATAAAAAATACAGTAATATTGAGAAATATTATTACAAGTTAAAATAACTGTTATCTATTTGAATATATTTAAAAATGCAATTTCTGTGATGCAAAGCCGAATTTTCAGAATCATTACTCCAGTCTTCAGTGTCGCAGGATCCTTCACAAATCATTCTAATATGCTGATTTGCTGCTCAAGAAGCACTTCTCATTATTATCAATGTTGAAAAAGTTGTGCTGCTTAATATTCTTGCAGAAACCGCAATACTTTTTTTCAAGATTCTTTGATGATCACAAAGTTCATAAGGATAGCATTTTTTTTAGAAATAGAAATCTTTTGCAACATAATAAATATCTTTACTGTCACTTTTGATCAATTTAATGCATCCTTGGTGAATTTAAGTATTCATTTATTTAAAAAAAAAGTGTGTGTAAAAGTGTTCACTTACTTTTAGTGACACAGTGCTCCGCTGGCAGGAGCCTCTTCTTCATCAGACCCTGCAGCACGGAGCGCACAGACGGCCTGTGAACCAGCTGCAGCACAAACAGATGAGACTGCGAGAAAAAAGAAACAGGAAATGAATGCTGACCCACATAAAACTCTTATTAGTAGGACTGTTTGTAATTAATCAGGCATTTTCTGAAGGAAATGTGCGATGCGAGTCTCTGTACTTACACAGCAGCAGGCCGTGACTGTTATTTGGATGGTGTTGCGTCCCGGCTGGCACACTTGCTTCAGGTAAAGGGGTTTGTGGGAGGTCTTGTTGTCCCCACGCTCGATGGTGAGAGGCGTGGCGTTGACGCTCACCTGCACCGATGCCGGCCAGTTAGTGTTCATCTGCCGGTCTTCATGGTGATAGCACTTAAACTGCAGCTCCAGGTCAGGCCTGTTAAACACATGATAGATCAGATTAAATGTTAAATATGACAACACTGACATTCACAAACACAAAGACTCCTTGAGATGCTACAAGGTATGAAATGGTCTGACCTCATCATAAGGGTCTTATACACGGAGTCTCGCAGCTGGAAGACATGGTTGCTGACAGCCAGGTTGTGCTCCAATCTAAAGGGCTCCAACACCACCCCGTCCCGTACAGGGAAGGTCAGGCGCAGGTCATCACTGGGGTTTCCTACAGACAGAAGAGTTTCAGTTACTGAGGTGCCACACGGCTTTCATTCATATCTCATTGGGCAAGAAACAAAGGCATCTTATAAATATCGAAGACGCACCAAGTTGTTTTTCAACAGACATACTGGACTTTTTGTTTCAGTTTCTTGTTTCGGTTTAGCTTGTTTTAAAGCAAACAATGTCAACCTTAAACTATCCTTACCCTTTACCCGATGCAGTGTTGCTATTATCTAGAACTAAAACTAATAAAATCGAACTGAAAGCTGAAATGAAATAAAATAAAATATAAATATTAGATGGAAAAACTGTTTGACGCCAAGTCCACATTTCTAATTTTTTAAGTTGAAGTACTAAAACGACTACAAATAAAACTAAAATATAAAAAAAAATTAAAGCTAAATAGGAAAATAACTAATAAAATGACAAAAGTACTTATCAAGATTATTACAACTAAAATATAATGAAAAAAATTTTTCTAAAAAAGCTCATTAAAATATTGATAAATACTATAGTAGTATGTACATAATACTAATATAACACTACCTTTATGTGAAACAAAACAGCTTTATATGAAGTTTTCATTTTATATGATTAAGCATTATTTTAACTAATTTCTGCTTTTTTAAAAACAATTTTGGTATTGTGACAATTTTTGAGTAAAACAGAGCATTTGACGAAAAAAAAAAAAGACACGCAACTTTGAATCCATCAGGAATCTACCTGATTTGTTGTTGGCTTGGCTGCAGTTCTGAGTGTTACCTGTAGGTGACTGCAAAGAGTTAATGTTGGGCTTGACGTCATGAAGGAAGGGCGACTTGACGTCTTGGCCAGGGGACAAATATGGGGTCATCGAACTGCCAGGGGTCATGGGAGGAGTGGGGTTTCCTGGGAGAGGAGAGCTGGGGTATCCTGGCATCACACGTCCGGGCTGTGAAAGACGAGATGTGTGCGCAGGCATTACAATCTGCGGCCAGATTATCTTTACAGTCAGATTTTCATAACCGATACTGTGCAAAAACACATTCAGCTGAGTGGAGTTTGGACCCCGGCTGCCAAAGTCAGATCGAGGCGCTCACACGAAATGGTGAAATATTAACAGGCAGCTCCTACCGACTCACGTTTCACCAAACACACATGCATGCGAGAGAGAACACCAACCCCGTTGACGGCGGCTTGGTTGAAGGTGTTGTACCCGGCTCCCGAAACTCCTGAGGACAGACTGCTGTGGCTGTTGCCCTGTCCGTTAAACTGGTCCGCCTGCTAAACAAACACAAAGCTTTCAACATCAGGCTTAAAACAGAGCAAGTCAACTCTGGTTAAGCATAATTATAGGGAGCTTGGTGCAGTGCATTCTGGGATTGCTTCCTCCACAGAGATACATAGTTTAGAAATTTGCCAAAAGAAGGTATCTAACATCTTACATTTACACTATATAGGCAGCTCATTAGATTTTGGAATGGAGCTTAAACGTGCACTTGTTTAGTGCCCACTACAGTGATATGACAATAGTGATAAGCTACCACTGTAATTCCAAACCCGGCACGGACTTTAAACCACCCAGGTTGGTTCGCCTTTCACTGGTACTTCCAAAAAATCTTTTCACGACTAGTTGCCTCTTTAATGTTCACTGACGTATTTGTCAGTATCAAATGCCAGTGTGTTTCTCTAAAACCGGCAGCCTGTTTATCACTAATACGGACATAAGGAACCTGTTCTTTGGGAAACATGATACCGCTTGCAGTGTGTCGCAATTTGCAAGTGAAAGCTTTCTGACAGCTTTCAAACTGAAAAATATGGCTATAAATAAAATATGATTATAAGTTTTAGAAAGTACCTAAATTTGGTTACTAGGGTGGCTCAAGTCTTTACAAGCAGCTTGATTTGAGGTGTCACACATCCGTAGCATGCCGAAGTTTAATACTCAGGGTTTTCCAAATCCTAACTAAGTACGAGCAATAATAGCGATGATCTATGTACCTTGTAGTACTGGTTGGGGTTTCCTGGTCCTGCAGGATACTGGCCCATATTGGGTTGCTGGAGGGGCATTCGGTGGGTTGGGTAAGACGGGGAAGGAGCGGACCGCTGTGGTCCAGGGCCGTGGTACTGCATGGGCTGGCCTGGGTACGGGCCCCCACCTCCCATCCCGGGACCATACTGCTGACCCGGAAATCCCTGCAAGAAAAGAAGAGCAGTCATTCCAGAACAGAACCAAATTGTCAGTACTATTCTCATTTTTTTGGGTCTAAATTAGATTTACGTTGTCAGTTAGTTGTTTTGAGGAGTCAACATCTAGTTTCTAACCATAAAAATCCATTTAAAAATTGTAGCTTTGTTCCAATATTTAATTGTACTGAACTAGATCTCAACATGTCAGCCACCATAATGAGGAACCACATTAATGCAGTGTTATTCTTAATTAAAACAAAAACTATTAGGAGTAATTTTTGTTAAATACGAAAAGACGAAAAACGTAAAAAAAAAAAAAAACACCTTCAAAATTTTTAAATGCTGCTTTGGCAATTAACTGAAATAAAATGTGTTTAAGTTCATAACAAATTTACTGAAATCTAAACTAAAATTAAAATGCAAACCAAAAATATTAAAATAAAAGTCAATCCAAAATACTGATAAATACTATAACAGTATTTTATTCCAAAATCTAGTGAGCTGCTATGTGATCTACAGCCTACACAGGCAGCATCCTAACTGAAAGAAGTCCTAAAACTTCATAAGTGACTGATTTAGAACAAACTACAAATGAAGCAACTCACAAACCTTTGCCAAAACCCTTGAAAGTCCTGACACACAATTAGTTTTGGTAGAATACAGCTTTAGTTATGATCCAATTAGTTATGAACATCTGTGTTCTGGTTCCTGTGATGTTATTTTCTTCATGAGCACAGTTTATTTTATAATAGTACATTATACAATAAACATAATGAGGTATTTATTAACCAAAACTTTATATTATGACATAAATTATAAACAACATCTTGGATGACTTTCCCGGAGCTCATAATGCATTATGACATTATCTGTAAATGATACATGCGCATCTTAGATTCTCATAGCTTTCGTGTCAGGAACAAGTCTGATGTCATATAAAACTCACTAGGTTTTGGAACAGAGCTACTGTGACAGATCAAGTTGGTGAACATGAGTCTCCACTTACGTCAGAGTTGTAGGGGCGTTTCAGGCCCTGCTGGTGGCGCGGAGGACCCTGCTGGCCTCCAGGGTAGACGGGATGCTGCGGCAACCTCTGGCCCTGCTGTGGATACATGGGTCCCATGGAAGGGGGTCTGGAGCCGACCATTCCAGAGGGGGCCATGCCGGGCGGGCCCCGGGGTCCGGAGTGCGACAGGAACTGGGTGTTGTACGAGGAAGCACCACCCATCTGCAGAGCAAAACAACACAGAGATCCACACCCATCAGAACCAGCAACGGGTAACAATGGCTGGAGACGTGCCTGCCGCCGTGACTTATGGCCGTCAGGCCCTGGGCATGAAAGGGAAACGGCAACTAGGTCACCACCGTAAACAATCAAAGTCCTGTGTGGCCGTAATGTTTGCCGTCTAAACCCGGGCAGACAGGCGGCATGTGAAATCTGCTGGAAAAATGAGGGGAAAATACTTTGCTTTTTTTTTTCTTTTCAATAATTAAAACCATGTTTTTGGAATCAAAACTTGTTCATATGCATTCGTCCAGCAGGGGGCAAATTGAGCGGAATGAAATCAGAGGTTACTGTGTGTCACACAAGATAGTAATTGCTGAAGTGCAAAGCATTTTCCACAAAAAAAAAAAAGAAAAAAATGAAGCAGAGTTTTCACCAATCAGATTAACGGCATGAAAAAACAGAGATATTAAACAAGGGGACACGATTTATCACTAAAACATTTAAGCATGGCAAGATCTATTCCAGTGACCTTCCCTTCAGTGCCGTTCACCGCAACAAAGGTCAACTGCACTTAAAGTGAACACAAACAAGTCAAGTCCCTTACAGGCCCGTAGTTCAGCTCCTGGTTTTGCTTCTCCTGTATCGCAGCGACAGTTGCTGTGGCAGTGGCCGTGGCTGTGGCAGCGGCTGCAGCCACGGCTGCTGCGGCGGCCGCTTGGGTAAAGTCGGTGGGCGGGCGGACTCCATGGGGCGGCATCCCGAGGGAACCCCCTCCGTTATTGGGGTAACTAAAGAGGACAGACAGAAGATTATGACGAAAGGTTATGAACTGCATTGCATTCGTGTCATAAAATAAATTTAACAACGCTGCTGAATAATGTGACCCGGCATATTAGTAGAACGTGGCGTAAGAGGAGCCGATTATTCACGTTGTCGTGGCAACAAGGTGTTGGTCTGGCGAGCCAAGGGGGACGCTGACTGCTCCAAGTCAGTGATTCACAAGATTTATTGCGATGCAAATTGATCTTAAGGGACGCCAGCATGCGTGTGTTTCTGTGAGTCAGCGCAGGGGTGGGACGTTACAGCGCACACATCCCCCACTGCGGTGACGTCCGCCGGCTGCCTGACGTCACACAACTCCCACGAGGAGCAGAGACTAAATACAGCCACACAGACACTGGACAATATTTGCTTTCCTCACCTGCCCCCATATCCAGGCCCGGCTGGATATCCCCCGCTGGGTCGCCCGTACATGCCCTGCTGCATGAAGCCCTTGTTGGGCTCGGGGTAGCCCTGCTGGCTCATGAACTGAGGGGAGTTCATGCCAGGGCTGTTGCCAGGCATCATGTGACCACCAGCTGAGTTGCCGCCTGGACCCATGGGAGCACCAAAAACCTGCCAAGGAGATTTTTGATTAGTCATGAACGTAACTGAACATGGAAATAAAACTTATTTGCTGACATGGGACAGGATCGGATTTTTTTACATATACATATTCACAAATGTTTACATATACATATTCACAAATATATATATATTTGTGTAACATACATACATACTAGTGCTGTCAAATGATTAATCGCGATTAATCGCATACAAAATAAAAGTTTTTGTTTGCATAATATATGTTCTGTGTATATTTATTATGTATACATAAATACACACACATACAGTATATATTTTGAAAATATTTACATGTATTTACATGTCTATATTTATATAATTTATATTAGAAATAAATATATTTAATATATAACCAACCTATTTTTCTGAAATATATACATGCATGTGTGTGTATTTATTTATACATAAATATACACAGCACACATACATATATTATGTAAACAAAAACTTTTATTTTGGATGCGATTAATCGTTTGACAGCACTAATACATACATGCATAAATACACATACACACACACACACACACATATATATATATATTACACACATATATATTATCTTTAATGTCTATATTATTACCTAGTGTTTACATTAATTATTTCAGGAAAACATGAAGCAAATTGTTTAATTGAGAAAATTTATTGCATAAATATAGTAATGAATAAATATCAATTACTTACAAATAAATGTAATGTAATTTATATATATATATATATATATATATATATATATATATATATATA